TGATAACCAAAAATAGCTGCTTGCCAAGGAGATGGTGCCATACAAAACCTGTGGGATCATCTGTTTTGCTCTAGGTGGGTGCCACTCTCAAGGCCCTGTGAGGACCATCTAGGCTGCAGGAAGCTGCAAATTCCTCAGTGAAGCAGCTCTCATAGGGCTATTTTCCTTTAACAATTGTGTATAACAATTGCTGAATTAAGAAGTGAAATATTAACTTAGCCTTAGTGCTATGACCCACTGAACCAGTCAGAAAACTGCATCATTTTACACATTTTTTAAAAACATAAATAACAGCATTTTTTTTGTGCAAAACTTCTTAAAATTTTTATTCTCTGATTCCTCTTCAGTCCATTATGGTGTTATTAACTACTATTATCTGTAATAGCATAAAGATGTAAACACTTATTTGTTCACAGCTTTATAGATAACATCTCAGAGAAGGCTGTTAGGTATGTGACATTAGAAACTGAAACCGGAAAAGAACAAAAGAGCAAAACCAGAAGAAAATGATAGTGAATTACAGTATGAAATCTATTTACACACAYTGATCTATACAACATCATAGTCTGTACATTTTGTAAAAAATAATCACATTCATTTACATAATCTTTAATTTTTACCATACTTGACMGATATAAAGGTATAACAAAAATGACAAAAGAGAGTTTTGAAGTAATACTCATACTCATGTGCCAGGACTAAAAAAAAAAAAAGCTGCAGGTTAACATAAACTTATTACAGTGCTTYGGGAAATAGAAGGGTTTGGGACATTTCAGTGACTGTTTTAGCTGACAATGGAAATGTTCCTGACTTAGATTTTACTACAATCTATCACTGGGCATAACCAGATTCAACACAGAGTGGTTAAACCATATCACAGAATGCTCCTTTTTCACGTTATCCTGATGTACTCTTGTAACATACATGTTACAATACCTTTTTAAATTTTTATTTTCATCAACAGAGCAGCACTGCATACTGACTTCTGTATTTGGTCATGTCAGGATAGTACTGACAGCCCACAGCTTACAGAGGCACTCATGGTAACACAAAGGTACTTCTGTGGGTAAAAGTATTTCCTGTATCACTATGCACACGCAGTAATTGTTCAGACAGTGACCCTTACACACGTAGCAGCTTTCTCTGAAGGTTACTCACCARTTCTTTTCTTTTTATCAGACATATTTAGTGCTTGATTTTTCATTAGGGATGTCTGAAAAAAATCKGCATAGGGTAAATTTAGACTTTATCCCAAGTCGCTTTGCTGAACTGGGCAAATTCACAGTCAACAGAAGATGTTTTTTAGAAAAATAGGAGACAAATGATGCAGATGATTTATCTTAGTGTTTGCATATGGAGGGCGTGACACGTGGCAATGCCTTATCACATCAGTCTGTCCCAGACTGTTTCTGGTTTGCTGAGGGTCTATGCCTGTTGCTTTCTCTTTCATCATGTTGAAGGCAAAGGGAAGCCTGGGGTGAACTGGGACATGAACAGAGTGGGTGGGGTTGGCTGGGTCCAACTTGACCATGGAAGGTTTTTTGTAATGCTGTTTGCCACCAGTTATCTGTTGCTGCTACAGTACACTCCCATCAGAAGCTTAAATCMGATATTCCTCAGCTGGCTACCTGCAGCACATGACATAAAGAAAATTTCGAGTACTTTAAAGCACTTTCTTTTAACGTATGGCCCTCTACAAAAGCAAAAAAAAGCCAAATGCCTACTCCAAACCAACAAACATTTGTTGGAAGCTGAGGGCTGGCAAATCAAAATGGGACACAAGGCTGTGAGCTTTGTCATGRAAGGCAGTTTGGCAGGTCATACCTGACCAAATGAACCTCAGGATCCTCCACTGCCTGACCTTTTGAATTACACTGCAYATTTCTTGGAGGACAACTTTGGCCAGCCCAAGTTACTTGGCTTAAAAAGAAATATCCATATTATAATATTACCCAGRTAACTGAATGATCTTTTTTGGAGGGATACRTCTTACCTMATTCTGAATAYGGAGTGAGAAATCTAAGTCCTAGCYAGCTACCCCAGGCTCATTTTATAGYAAGTAGAGAGAAAACTAGGTSCAGATGCCCAGCTGAACGTGGAAGGAATCATCTTCAACTAGTGCTTATTTCTCTATGATGACTGTGGAAGGCACTTTAAAAAGAGTCTTTAGCTCAGAGACAAAYATGCAGCTTTTAGACACCAAAACCAGGGCAGATGRATTTCACCTGAGTGTATCAAACACMCAGMTGAAATAAWCTYTGCAGARGRAAATTTAAGTCAGTGTCCATATGTATATTTAATTATGGTTAGTAGCTGGAGAGCAAACTGTCACTGTGCTCCTCAGGCATCAGCAGCAGGTAATGCTGACAGAAGTCACTCACAGTTAATGATGCTTCCAGGGGAGCTAAAGAACAACAATTAATCACTGGGACTGTGTTACCATTCTTGTTCAGTAAGTACAAGTTGTGCTACTGGCTTTTCAGTGGCAAAGGACAAAAAAAAAAACAAGTTTCCTGAACTGAAGACTTTACAACTCAGTTTGGACCCTGATGCAGCCAAAGGGAAAAAGACACTGAAGTGATAAAGAAAGGGAGGTGCAGGGAAAGGTTTCACTTGTCCCGCAGCCTCTAACTTCCTCCCCTGATGCTGCTAGAACTGAGTGAGAATTAGGATTAGGGATGACAGGAGTCCAAATGATGTTTCATTGCATTATTCTTTTGACACTTTAGAGTCACYACAGCATAGAGCAAGAGCATTTAATTCCATACTTCTTGACCAAATGCAATGAAAGACAAAACCATGAGAAGCTCTTTTGTTCTGGGTGTTGTAAAGATGCAAATCATTGATCTAGTTCTAGGTTCGTGAAACTGTTCTGCAGCTTTTACAGACATTTTTATATCGTGTGTACCTGTTCATGAAAAGGCAGCTGAAAGTCAAACTTTTTTTTTTTGAAAGTGAAACTGGTGGTGATAGGGTTGTTGGTGTAGCTTTGCATAAAGGTACTGGAAAATCAGAAATTGTCTGGGAGTAAAAACAAGGGAGCACAGTGCCCTCTGTATCTGTACTCCCATGATAATGGTTGCACAAAACATTAGGAAGTTAAAGTGTCTCACAAAAGAGTATTTAGATTATCTGTATTGAGATTATTAATAGAGGGATGAGGTTCTCCAGAGTACTGTACTTTTCACTGGTTTGAAAGAAAAATATATACAGSACCTCTCTCCTCTGTGTGCTGTTTTTTTCCATGTCCCCAGAGTCCTTTACAAACTTAGGGATGCCACCTGTGTTCTCCCACTGGTGCAAATTCATTGTCTCACTTTGCATTTCTCCCTATGTCAAAAGTAGAATCAAACCCAAACACATCTGCACCCTGTTAAAGGAAACAATGCCGCTTTGTTGCAGTGTAAACTGTATTTTCTTATTAAGGCTTTTCTTTTTTATAACCCAGAAATAATTAAAATGCAGATTTTCTCCATGCTCACGTAATTAGAACAAAGACAGTTTTCTCTGAGATACAATGTGTTATAAACACAGATAATTGGTGATGCATCATGCAGAACAGACTGATGGAAATGACTGCTTGAAACCTCTGTTTCTGTGCTATCATTCTGTCTGTGTGTCAGCCTGCTCACATAACCTCATTTGAGCAAAAAGATGAGCACACTTGAATGCTTGTCACGTGTGTCTTTCCACCCTAGAAATTTAGGGAAAAAAAGAACGTCCTGCACATCACATCTCAGGGAGCTGAGCAGTCCCAATGCCACTTCAGACAAAGAAGCCTAAAGTGCACAAAWGTGTTTAATTTAGGTATAAAAGCAGCTCCCAAAGCTCCAATGGGTCTTCATATATTTACACTTAGGAGTTTGTGATAAGTTTTTCCAGGGATCAAGGGAAAATATTAAAGTTTAGCAGTGTTTTCTCAGTCGAAAGTCTTTGGGAATATATTTAGTATAAATACATGTGTAGGAGCATATCTTTAGACCCCATGGGAATGTCCTTGGGCAGCCTACTTCAGAATCTCACAGTTCCTCTGCCAAGCAGAAAACATTATGAATGATCTGAAAGTGATCAATGGATTCTTTGAATTCAAATTTTGTAAGTAACAATTCAGGGAGTGATTATTGTTTAACTCAAATGAACCCCACTGGTGTCACATAACACCCACCACGTTACCTGCTCTGCAGMACTCATGTGAACCATGGGGCCCTTCTATCGTTGGTCTGACAAAACTTCGTATGACTCCAGAGCAATCCCATTAAAATAAATCATGTTTGACTGATAAATAGCTGGATTAACTCAGACCAAGAGTTGTAGGGACACTGACAGCTGCTGACAATATTCCCAGTTCTGGAATGTTTTCAAGGGTGTACAAATGTGCCTGCCAAAATATGCCCTTGCTGTTGTTTTTCCCTTCATCTGACAAGAGTAGGGACCTTGGATTCTGCTGGCTCCATGCAATCTGTTATCTGAAATAACAGRGCAATGGCTTTTATGGAGGTACTCGTACAAATACATATTATTCCCACTCGTTATGTAGGGTGGATGTGGTTAAACGTGACATGGGAAGAAAACATCACTAGGTTTATTTCTTTTAAAAAGTGGAAATGTTCTGTGTATTTTTATAAGACTCTGTCAGCTCTCTGCCATTTTTTTTTTTTTAATGTGGATGCATAAGACGCTTGGCATTGTTGAAAATTCCTTCTTTATGCCTTTTATGGTATTTTTTTAGGGATTCTGTCTAATTTTTTTTCTTTGTTGGAGTCATGGTCAGAACTAAATTTTAAATAATTTCAGATAGATATAAAACTGAATAAAGCTAAAAGAATCTACATTTTTCCTTAAATGCGAATTGCAACTTCACTGCAATATTCCTTGTGTTTAGCCATCAAATACGTATTCTTACAGATATATTTCAATGAAAATACTGTAAAAAATGGTATTTTCAATGCATAATRTACTATCCAAGGCTGTTTATCCTTTTGCAAAAAACATACCTATTCAGAAAATTTCTTCCTGAAAGATCTACATAAATCTCTGACTTCAAACAGAAGAGAACAACTGATGATTGGACTAGCACTATTGGAAAGGGCTGCAGTTTTATTCAAAACTGATGTAGTGGTCTTTTCTGCATGGACTGTAAAGGTTGCCCTMCATTCTGCACCAAAACATTAAACTAGGCACTTTTGGAAGGAGCAACAGGATTGGAATCAAACTCTGAGGAAAGTAATCTCTGAAATGTATCCCATTAGCCTAGAAGTACTACCTTTTTCCCTCTGTGTAAATCACGTTCATGATTTCCTGGATTAGCACACTGAACTCCCACTGTGGTTAATTATGGTCTTAGATTTTTTTTTTTTTAAATTTTATTTGCCATAATTAGAAAAKAATTTCTTAATCCTTAAGGCAATGTTTCCTTAAGTATAAATAGAGTGTAAGAAAGTTGYTTGCTTCCAATCTTAACCCTTACATGTTCCAAAGCAGTCTGCAATGAACAGGATACCATGCATAAATCTTGTAGCCACATTGGAGGGAAAGGGGATTGAAAATGAGTTTTTGAATTGTAACGGCTAATAAACTGCAAGAGAACATCAGAATTAATATGAATACCATTTAAACAAAACAAAAAGCATCCATGGGGCAGGCTTCTCTGTTATTAATTCACAGGTTGGCTGCACAAACCAAATCCCCAAATACCAACATGTAGAAAAGCAAAGCACTAAACTGTACATTTTATAAAATATCACATCAAGCTGCATAATGAATGATATATCCCACAGTTTTTCATCTTTTGGGAGACCTAGCTCATTTATATCATGGTGGTCTCTGTCTGCATAAATGAGTGAGCTCTTGAATTCCGGTGGAGCTGGGAAACACTTTCTGATCCATTTCGAGAAATGGACGAGCTGTGGAGTCTGTAATCTCTGCCTGCTGTCTGCTTCCAGCACAAACTCCGCCACTTTCTTTTCAGCTCCCCCTGCACCTGTGTTAAAAAGAAAATGCCCAATATGAGCTGAAAAAYTTCTTTTATGTGAGGAGCTCTTCCACAGTATTGACTGTCCCATGGGGATGTCCAGGAATAGAATCATAGAATGGCTTCGACTGGTACAGACTTTTAAAGATTATGTAGTTCTACCCCGCTTCCATGGGCAGGGACACCTTCCACCAGACCAGGTTRCTCAGAGATGCTCCRACCTGTCCTTGAACACTTCCAGAGATGGAGCATCAAAAGCTTCTCTGGGCAACCTGTTACAGTGTCTCCACCACACTTGGAAAATATTTTTCCCGCATACATAMTCTAAATCTACCACATTTCAATTTAAAACTTATCCCTTGTACTATCACTACCAGGACAAAGGTACTAAAAAGTCTTTCACCATCTTCCTTACAATCCCCTCTTYATGTACTGGAARSTGCTRTAAYGTCTCCCCAGACCCTTSTCCAGTKGAACAATCCCTGCTCCCTCCCTGGCCCATAGGAGAGGTGTTCCAGCCTTCTGATAATTTTTGTGGCCTCCTCTGGACTTGCTCTAGCAGGTCCACATCTTGTGCTGATGTCAAGTCACCTCTCCTGACTTRCTGGCCGTGCTTTTTGATGCTGAACACAGTTGGCTTTTTGGGTTACAAGTGCACATTACCAGCTCCATTCTTTATCCCCAAACTCTGCTGGATGGCTCTCGACCCCTTCCTCCTTCAGTCAGCACTGCACAGACCCAGGTGCAGGACCTTGAACTTGGCCCTGCTGAACCTCTTGAGGTTCTCTTCCCAGTCTCCTCAAATCTTTCATGGTTCCTCTGGATGGCATCCCTTCCCTCTAGAGTATCCAATCAGTTTTTACAAAGGTCACAAAGCTGAGGCAAAGACTGCCTACACTGTAAAGAGATGCCCCAAGGCAACTTTCAAAAATCAGTTTTGTATCACTTGTGCTGCAACATTAGCTTTTGGTATCCAGCTRTTTATCACAGGCATATAATCAAGCGATTAGCCCAAAATCAGGCATCTCCTGCATATCAGAGACCAGAACAGCACTCAGGAGGGCTGAATGTTAATTCTCTGTGCAGGCAGGTCTTCTTCAGACAGATTCCTTCTGTCAGACTCTGCACAGTGGCTGAAATCAAAAGGAATTGCTCACATCTTTCTCAGCTGAGACTATGAAAACTACCACGTGCTGAGCACTTCTGAAAATCTGCTGCTGTTCTGAGGTTTAGATACTGACAGAACATTATCCCTAAATAATTACTTAGTAGAATTTCAAGTTCCAGATAAATTTCCAGGCTTGCTGCACCTCACTTGCACAAACCATGTTGCTTCCAACAAAGATAGATTAGATCACWTGAAATAATAGAAGACATGAACACCTAAGGAATTAGATTTCAAACAGTTCTTAAAAYTCTTCACCCAACTACAGCAATTTCTCCTGTTGCATAAAAAAGGTCACAAATATATTCTATTAATAGAAATGAAAACATTTTCTAAAATCATTTCATGTATCAGAGAAGAATTAAAGAGACACTTATACATTTAATAAAACCAGKATTTAACACTCTCAGTAGGAAAGGTGAGACTTACCTCACTGTTCAAGAAACAATACAGGACTGCAACAATCAGCCCCTGGAAAGAGACAATATTCCTTAGTTAGTAGGCAGCACTAACCTAGGTCAATATAACTTCTTTTGAATAAAAACCTCCAAATTTACCTGAAAAGATCCCAAACACAGCTCAAAGATGATCTTATAATTGTTGGAACTGCGGTCAGGAAATAGAGCAAACACCGTGTAGTGAACTCCAAATAATGGAATAAGCAACAACGTGGATTTTGCAAGTCTCCTGGATAAATAAACCAGAAAAAGCTGAAATTTAATGATGAGCTCTTGTTTTACTGTGAGAAGAACTTGATGCAATGTAATTTACAYAAACCTTGCATGGGGTTTCCCTGCATTTATTCCATAAGACCACATCTGGCAAATGTGAATTAATTGCTGTGAATTTCCTTTGCATGTGTAACTATATGGTTAATCTGTACATTGCACACCCACAGTATGCAAACAGTACCTAGAAAATGTAATCCAGAGTAATCTCAACTGTGAGATTTTCATGAGCCCCAAATACCACAACTTCATAGCTTTACTGATGGTATTAAGCATGCACCATWAAATAATTTTCAATGTTGCCATTTCCACCACCCATTTTAGAAGACACGACTGAAACTAAGGAAAAAGAACTTTAAATTACTAAGCAGAACTGCTCTGACAAACAGCTCGTGAAATGACTGAAATGATAAATTGCTACTTTTACTTTATCTGTCATTTATTTCAATCTAATAGCATCAGTTTTATATATTGTACTGGGCCAGTCATGCACAATTTTGAATGTGTGGTATCATATAAAATTTGAGAAGTTACAATGCTGAGCTCCATAATTCATCACTGTCTTGATGGACATAACTAGATTCAACAGTGAAAAAATGCTTCCATGAAGTTACCTATTTTAACAGAAAAGTGAAGGTATTTCAAGTAGTTTTAATTTTTTCTGTGTCAGTTTTTATGGCCTTGCTTTGTTCATGATGTCCCAGAAACTGCATGTGTTTATGTGGAAATAATCATTTCTGACAGCAATGTTTCTCAAGAATAGTAAAACCCTCACATCCAAAAATGATAGCAGAAGCAGAACAAATAGGGTTTCCTTAGCAGCAGAAATTCATTTACAAATGGAAGAGATTACACTGGCAGCAAATTTCCTGGTTTCCCAGAAAAGTGAAATGGAAAACTGATTTTATTTGAACCTAGCCTTATTCACTGCAAAAGTAAAATGAGCAACAAAAAGGATGGAACCAAGGTACAAGCAGGTTCAGAGGAAGGGAAGAAAAATGGTGACTTGCATGAGTAGTATTCATTTTAGATTCTTATTTTGCTTTCACTCTATGATTGTTTTCATAATTCTTGTCTAGTTATTTCCACTTTCACTATACTGCACTTATATTTTAGTGAAGGAAAGGGACAAACAAAACAGTCTTATTCTTCTCTGCATTTTAGAAAATGCATTTGTAAGTTTAAAAACGAGCCTCCCAGATCTTTAATTTGCTCTGTGGATGCAGTTTCTTGAGGAGGCTAATCTACTGTCCCATGTGTATTGGCTAAAGACCAGAAATGCAAACTTAATCAGATAATCAAATGCTAAAAGCGAAGAATTAAYATGGCTGAATAATGAAGGACAAGACTGCCATGAATGCGAACATTTCATACTGTGAAGTGCTGCACTAAACTGTGGAAAATGGTGGGACTGAAAGGAAGGGAATGCCTTATTTTCAAAAAATACCTCATGGAAGCAAAAAAAAAATTATGTCACAAGAAGTAAACTTGAGAGAATTTCTTGCCTGTAGGTTGGCCATTGTGCTAAATAATGATGTGGCAATTGCACAATTCCATCTAGATTCATTAAGGTCTCTCACATGTTCAATTGAATCAGCAAACACAAAACAAGACCCTTGCAGCTCTGCAAACCAAAGGTGGAATCAGTCCAGTTGTGTTGACTTCTCTGTGGCACATCAGAATTCTTCACTTTTTGCATCAAACATCACATTGTCTCCAAAACACACAAGTTCCTACTTCTCTTGGCTTTAAAGATATTCTTTACTTCTGCATACCATGATTTACCACCTTTTAGAACAGGAATTGAGTATTTTTTTAAATGAAGGAAAGGTGTTATCCAGGAACACATTTTCAAAGGCCATTTTCACAGCTTTGGATTTTCAGTGCTCATGTTAGGTTTTGTCACTGAAGCACCACATTGACACCTGAACTGTCAGTGTCTGTGTCTGGGCTTTAAAATAAGACCTACTCTTAAAAACAGACTCTTGATTGCAGATTGTTGCACATCTTTCAATAAACAACAATAACAGATATGGCAATAAAGAAAAAAAACAGTTTTAGCAATGCATTTGAATTGTCCCCTAACATCCTTTGATTTTGAAGCTGTGGAGACAAAAGATGTTTAAGGATTTGATGCTCAAACCTAAGCACAAAAGAAGCAAATCTGAACAGAAATGAAGCTGATCTAAGCCAAAACCAACTGTTTTCCTCTAGAAAAGCGAAGATGGTAATTTAAACCAATATAAAACATTACACTTAATTTTTAAATTTTTGATAGCAATGTAACTTCTTTTCAGCTCTTAAAATATATGTAAGTATTTTRGAAATTAAAAATGAAAAGGTTTCAAGGAGGCTGAAATCAAATGTTTTGGTTTTGAAACTCCTYATGTCAAAATGAAACATTTATATATAAAACCAAAGATATTACTCTCCATATATTTTGTATCAGCATAATCATGCATTAAACTCAAATTCAAGAACAGCTTGTTGGTCTTTTAGAAATTAAGTATTTTTAATAGAATTTAGTGTTTGACAAAAATATATTTATCTCCATTTCAGTATAGCTATATTTATTAAACCATATCTAAAAGTAGTCCTGAATTAAATGTAATTATTGTAATACAGCAGCTGCTGATTTTCAGCAGATGAAATCTTACAGAGGTTATTTTGGTTCTGTCTATAATATCTAAAATTAAAACTCACTTGTACTGTGATTGGTCATTTCCCCCGACATCTGGAGATCTTAGCTTCTGAAGTAAGATTCTTATAATGCTAATGAAAAGTATAAAATTCACCTGCAAAGAAAACAAATATAATGGYGATTCCTGAATTCTCTGCCCAATATGCAGCACAAAGAAATGTTTATCAAATCAGGCAAGAGTCAATCAGCAGTGGGAGCCGTGCTTCTCTGTCCAGAACCCCTCAATCTGCAGTGCCAAACCCACTGTGTTCTGCAGCACCAGGTTTGTCACATCCAGCAACCACAGCGAGCCCAGCAGCGCTGCTCTGGATGGCAGCAGTCTGTGAACACCCCAATTTTCAGAATTCTCCTCCTTCCAAAACTGCAGCTGAGGTATCCCAGCAGGATGGGGCACTGGATGAGATTTGTTGCAATCAAGCACTGGCCTGAATTGTCACATGGATTCACAACCAGAAGCCCAGAGGCAGTTTTGACCCTCCCTTGCTCCTCATCTTGATTTCCAGTATTTTCTGTCTGAATTAGGGCTAGAGAAGGTTGCTGCACAGCTGATCTGTCTACTCCAATCAAACACAAAAAGGGACTCTCAYAAGTATCTGACTGCCTTGGATATTGATGCTGACATTATGAATGAAKGAAYCAMMGAATATTTAGGGTTGGAAGGGACCCCTGGAGATCATCYAGAGTCCAGATAAATCCCTGCAGYSTAATTCTCATGACAGCCYTCTAGGACAGAACAGWAGTATTATTTGATTTTGTATYTTATTTCATGTTTTACTTTACAGAAAGGCACCTGCATAAAAAGTCGTTATGATCAGAACCTGGTCAGCCTAGAAAACTGAAGTGCAAAACTCAGTATATCCTAAGTCTCTCTCCCATTATTTCTTCAACCTTGACTTTTGGCCTCTTCTCATCACCATCCCTTCTGGTGCTGGATTGTTTGGCATGGTCTAGAAAACTGCATGCCCATACTGAATATATATATATATATATATAATAATTATTGTATTAATATATAATTATATATATTTATAATATTTATAAATATAGCACGTCCATACTGAAGTAAAGTAACACTTGGATTCCACACCTTCACAACAAAAATGTGTGCTAAAAACAGTAACTACAGCTACATAAACAGCTGCATCGAATGCATATGTCTTAGAATAAATTAATCTAGAGAAAAATTTCTATCACTGTGAAAATATGAATTTTATTGTTTTAAACTAACCCCATCCCAAAGCCCAAAATCTGGCAGTGGGGTACCTAACCAGGCAGTGCCTGTCTCTGCTATAAATCTCTGTCTTGATGTATTGGTGGAACTCTTCTTCTYCCATCCCCAAAACTATCTTCAAGCTTCTCAAGTTCAATTAATTTCTGTGTCTTTAATATATCCAACAGAATTTGACATGCTAATAAATGAACCACAATCATAGCAAATGCACGTCCCTATGTATTTAACATTTTGTTTGGAATGACACATGAAGGGAACTGACAGGGATCAAATAAAAATTTAGGAAAATTAATATCTTTTAAAGAAAGAATAAGAAATAAATGCTAGAAAATATAGGATTTTACTGAAYTTAACATACATTTTTCCAGGCAGATGATTACTTAGAGGCTTACYTATAAAGATAACAGACAAAAGCCTGTTGTTGCAGATTTTACCCACAGACTTAACTCAGCAGAGTGCACACACCAAGCGATATTAACTTATTAACTGGCTGTATGCACTGGAGTCAGTGTTAGTGGACAAGGGGAGAATATGGGTAACAGAACATTAATTTGGAACAGTCACATCCAACTGAGTGACTCTGAAGAGTGTTCAGTATGATGGGTGAGAGTTTGTCAAATTACTTTTCTCAAGCCAGAATTCTCAGGAGGAAATGCCAGGGAGGGTTTCTCACACTCTGAATTTCCTGAAGCCATTCCCACTGTGCAAAATGGTACCAGAACTTGTTCTCATGATACTGTTGGATAGATCAGACTTTGCTGAATGACCAGYACTCCATTTGCTTAAATCACAACTCTTTTCCCAGTCTTCACAAAGACTGACCTAAAATTCAGGTCTGCCAGTGTGGCCTGGGATAGCTTCCAGGTCTAGGAGTGCTTTGGAGGAGCATTGACCCGCAGCACATGAAGTTTCAGCTGGTTATCAAACAGCTGCTCAAACTGAGGATCCAGAGAACAGATTTTTGTCTTCCTGTAAGCACCAGGTGGTTTCTTTTGCTTTTATCTTCCAGCATATTTTCTTCCCTRTGGATTGTTTCACATTCTCCAGCTCCTTTGAGATGCAACTATTCCCTTCATATTGTGGTTCTGTTGTGTGGTCCTTYCTTCATAACATAAAACACCTTTGAGGCCTTACCTTATGTCATTTCACACATAGAGCCTGCTCTTCCTTCTCTTCAATCTTCACTGTGATGGCAATGATAGGAATTTCTCCCAAAATGGTTTTCAGCAGGCACAGATTGAAAGGCAAGCCCGAGTGTAAGGCAAACTCCTGAAATCTTGTGTAATCTATTATGCCCTAGTTTTTCTGCCTGCAATTTTAAAAATTGAGCAAGTGTATCTAAAATACATTAATTTGTACTCTGTTTTCAGCAATGGACATATAGCCATAGTATATTATGCCCAAGGTTAATTGCACAATCRTTATAGTGAACAGGAATATAATTACACTACTCCAGTATTTCTAATGAGTTCCACACAGGAAAAGCCCAGTGAAACATCCCCAAATTTTGCAAATATTTCATGATCAATATGTATTTCAGTAGGCTACCAATTAAAGAAAGAATACACAACAATGTATATATATATATATGACTTTTTCATGACAAMTACCAGATTCTCAACAGCAGAACTATTTACACACACAATCAAATCTGCAATTCATTGAAAAGTATAATTAGGTTTTTGCTTCCTCTAGGCTCATAAAGAGATGTTTAAGAAAGAACAACACACAAATAAAAGCAACTGCTCATTTAATAGGTGGCAGATAAATTTTGAAGGCAASAAATTTTAATGGCCTTGGCATCTGTTTAACACATCTCCTGCAGCACAATTTCTTTTCATTAAAACAGAAATCTTGCCTATCTGTAACTAGCCCTAAATAATAATGGCTACATGCACTGCACAATGCTGAACAGATCTATAATTCTTCAAAGAATTCTTCAATTCTATAATGCTTCAAAGTTTACTTACTATAATAGAAATTAAAATTGGTATTCGTATAACCCACCAGGGACCACCATGCTCATTTGTATCCCAGCAACTATTAAAAAAAAAAAAGAGGGAAAATTATGTTGACATTGATATCATCTGGCAAGCAAGACCTATGAGAAGTATTTCTTGTAAACAAGTCAAAGCACACAAAAATCATGCCTGTTCTAGCTTAGAATTTGGCATTCAACCATTTCCTGCCATTAATTTTATTTCCTTTGTTTTAATATGCATAGTCAAATTTCCCCACCGGGACAACTGCATCCAGGTGTGAAGTCCCCAGCATAACAAAATTAAGTGGAACTTTTAGAACAGTCCAGAGGGGCCTCCAAAGGTGATCAGAGGGCTGAAGTACCTCTCCTACAATGACAGGATGAAAGAGTCAGGTTTGTTCAGCCTCAAGAAGACAAGGCTTCRGGGAGAACTCACTGTGACCTTTCAGCACTTAAAGGGAACTTATAGAAAAAAAAAATGGTATTTTGCCAGTGCATGTAGTGATAGGACAAGGGAGAATGATTTTAAAATAAAAGAGGAGAGATTTAGATGTCAGGAGGAAATTCTTTACTCATAAAGTCGCAGAATCATTTAGGTTGGACAAGACCTCTGGGATAAKCGAGTCCAACCTTTGGCCAAACACCATCTTATCAGTCAGACAATGGCACTGAGTGCCACACTCAGTCATTTCCTGAAGACCTCCAGGAAAGGTGACTCCACCACCCCTGAGGACAGCCCATTCCAATGCTTTACAACCCCTTCAGTGAAAAAATTCTTCCTGGTGTCCAAACTGAACCTCCCCTGATACATCTTGAGGCCGTTTYCTCTTGTCCTTTCGCTGGCTGCCTGGGAGAAGAGACCAACYCCCACCTGGCTACATCTCCTTTCAGAGAATTGTTGGGAGTGATAAGGTCTGCCCTGAGCYTCCTTTTCTCCAGATTAAACCACCCCAGCTCCTTCAGCTGTTCCTCATCAGATTTGTGCTCCAGACCCTTCCCCAGCTCCGTTCCCTTTCTCTGGACATTCTCCAGCACCTCAGTAGTGAGTGGCCCAGAGCTGGACACAGATCTTGAGGTGTGGCCTCACCGGTGCATTCCTCCAAGGGTGCACAGAGAAGCTGTGGATGCCCCATCCCTGGAAGTGTCCAAGGCCAGGCTGGGAAGGGGCTCTGAGTAACCAGGTCTGTTGCGTGACACCACTGCCCATGGCAAGGAAGGTTTCACCAATTCATCTTGAAAGTCCCACCCAACCCAAACTACTCTATAATTCTATGAAATCAGCTAAAACATCAATCACACTGGGCTGTACCATCAGGCATCATGGAGGATGTTGGCCCATGGGGAACCCAAACTTAGTTTCACATCTGCAATATGCACTTAACGCTGACMTCTAGGTAGCAGGAAGATCTAAAGCAGCAGACAGATATAACGAGAAATTACATAATTTCTTGTGGGATATTTAGGTTACAGATGTCTGGAACTTGTTTACAAAAATGTGAGACTGAACCTGAAGCTTTGTCTGAAAAACTGAATATTTAATTTTCACCCTGAGCTCAGCATTTTGATCCAAATACTCTAAGTGCTCTGAAAKGTTAGGCAGATTAAAGATTAATTACCCCTCAGAGCTCCTCTGTAATCATAATGACAAWGGAAAAAGAAATTTGCCTTTGGTTTGCATGCTAGAGGTCTTGCAARGAAAGCCTTGAAATTATGTAGGACATGGTTTTTCAGTTTAGTTACAGAATGAACCGAAAAATAATAGTAGAACAAAACAGGCCTGTGAAAACTATTTGTCCYACTAGGTAGGAACATTCTCCCGTTCCCTAGGAGCAGCAGGAGCAAGTCTGATCTTCCAAAAAAATTTTTATCTCAGTTTCCCTTCCCATTCCGAGAGCCAGGCTCCAGTCAGCTTTAGCTTCACTTGGCTACGTGCAACTTACATATTTTACATTGCTTCACTTCACTTTTGGGAAATGCAGTTTAGATAAACCCAAAGTTATCCAGACTTCAATCTTCTGAGTTGCTAGTGAGCAAATTAGAATGYCCAGTGCCTTGCTGCACATATTGTAGTGGACCCAAGGACCCCCATTGCTTTTTTAATCATTACCTTGACTTCCCAAGCAGACAGCTTTAGATGTAAATCCCAGGGGGCAAGATTTGCCCTAACCTGTCTCTGCTGTCTCATGCCCTTTCAGTTTTTCAAACAAACACCAAGCACAAGCCACAGATGAGGAGTTCCCAAACACCTGTCCCTTTATTGCCATCTCTGGAATTTCAGTTCTGTCCCCTCCAGAGCAGCAAACCACCTTTGTGTGAGCAACACCACACCCAAGGCAAGGACTGAGGGCTTTAAGGTTTCCCTCCCACACACACTCACCCGGTGTCCTCTAAAATGATCCTTGTCACGGTCCACGTAATAATGAATATTGTAGGAATTCCTGGAAAATGCCAAAGAGGTTTAGACAATGATCACAAAAACACAAGTCCACAAAATAAATGTTCAGCCTGCTAGCAATCARTTATTCTCCAAATACAGAGTATATAGTAAACAGTCCATTGAATGGAGACAGCTACATGGTGAGAGCTACAGCAATGTATTACAAACAAAAGCTGCAGGGAAGTGGGTTTATTTCTTATAAGAATGCAGTCATAATTACTAATACACACAGAAAAATGCCTTTATTAGTTTCTTGCAAGGTGTCAGAGTGACTTACAGGGAAATAGATACAAGTCACGCATTCCCAATGCACCTCCAAGGACTGCAGTGTGAAATTGAAGTATAAATCATTTCATAAGGAACCTTGTCCACACACTGGTTTATTCCCATTTCCCAGCAACGCCTAAATGTTTTATGAGCACCTATTACTGGAAGTTTTAAAGTGTTCCACATAAATATCATCTCACTTTCTGTAAATGAAAGGAGCAAATGTATTTAAGACCAGATGGACAATATTACTGGGCTTCTCACAAGGATAAAYAGCATAGTACAGCTCATGGCTGTGCAGCTAAACTTTAATTTTTCTCACAAATTAGGACACCCGAATGACATGTTTTGCAGAGGTTGTAACCTGTGCTGGAACTGAACTGAGGAAATTGTGAGTCTGAGGAGTCACCAACAGAGAGGGCTCAACTACCTTGGTTTRGAATATTGAGCCTGGCAAAAACACACATACAGAAAAACAAACATTTCTAGAATATGTGTAAGTTCTTACCCCATCCTATCAGCAGGTAGATGGTGAAGTGTCTGTTGGGGGAGAATATGAGCACAAGGAGGATGTGGAGRTAAAGCCCTTCAACCAAGAGCCAGTAAAAGTTTGCCATAACTCCGTACTGAAAAAACACCAAAATTGCCTTGCAGCCCACCTGAAATATCAGAAGAGGGATCAGATTTGTTGCAGAAAAGATGCCATATCATTTTTATTGCTACAGCCTATAGATCTTGTAATATCAGTATAGATCCTTGTAATATCAGTAAACCAGGTTCAGTAGAAATTATCTTCTATCAAGCAGATTGAGGCATTGTAAGTGTTACTGTACATGTTAAAAGACAATGAGTTATTAAAAATTATTTATATGGCTCTCATTGCAAATTCACTCAGAAATTTTGAGAACTTCATAGCATAAATATTGAAAAATACTGTGGTTATCAATAAAAGCACATATCTGCAGCATTTTGTCAATGAATGGCCATAAGATTAAATGATCATCAACTATGAGCCTAATAAATATATTAAAATCTCATCAGGCTCCCTAACACAGTAAAAGTTAACTAAGAAACTGCTTTATGAATTTTTAAAGGCTAATTGTGAAACTCAATGAAAAATATAACTTTACATGATAACTAAGTAGACTTAGAAGAAAAGGTTGACTGGACTTTTAAAAACTATGTTTTCCCTTTATAAAAGGTTTTAGTGTTTCTTAGTTACCAGAACACAYATATATGTATCAAAAAATTATACTTTTAGTCTGCGTGCTGCTCTCAGAATTAATTTTCAGATGTCTGTGCTGCTGATGTTCCACAGTGCTGGCTGCTGCTACTTTGGTACTTCCCAGCAGGAATCTGGGATGTGAGAATTGAATATGAAAATGTTCATATGGACTGAAAATGTGCTGAGAAATGTGACGATACRGTGAATGCAACAGACTAAACAAACTGGACCAAATAAAATCTCTATTTTCTGCCAGCTCTACTCACTTCTCTCTTTTAAATACCCTTCATACTTCAATTTTTCTGTAAAAATTGCAAGTACACCAGAAACCTAAGCAGGTAACTTACTAATTTTTAGCAATTGATTCCTCTCTCCAAWCATAGATGCCTCTTAAGAAGTGAGCTGCTAAACCAGAAGGGCACAAACCCCCTTAAGGATCTTTGTATCCATCAGCCCCCTCTGATGTCTCAGATACCTCAATGCATCTCCAGTAATGAACATGTCTGTATTCAGACCTGTGTATGTGCCCATACAGAGAGCAAAGTCCAAAGGCCTGAATTCATTTCACTTGATTTCAGCTGCCTACAGCCAAGGTTTGAAAGCTAGATAACTCTGGTAAGACTGATCTTACCTCTGGACTATCCTCTGAAGGGATATTCATTGCAGATCTGTAATGGGCCAGAAAATGTAGGGTGGATAAAAACTAAGCATTTCAAAATATCTGAAATGTTGAAATTTGCAAGCAATTTGAAATTTGCTTTTATGCCTATGACTCCTTACAATCAGATTAGCAATGAAAATTTTGTAATCCTTTAAAAATTCCCTTATAAATTCCCTTATACTCCCTTATATTACATTCTCAATTTATACACCAGAATGTTGAATAAAAGTATTTTCCCTTCCTCCTGCAGGTAATCCTGTATCAGCTGTATTTGCAGATGCTGAGCAGTGAAGATATCAGTAAAGATAGCCAAAATTAATGTTCTGTGTAATCCAGACCCAGGATATACTTCCAGTGCCTTATCAATTGTGTGTTTCAGAGCTCTGTGAGTGCAGCAGAACTGTGGAACATCACACACACTTGACAAAAGGGCCAAACCCAGCATGCTGTGATGTCTAAAAGGCAGCACCAAGCCAGTGCAAGACAGAACAGCCTTGCCAGGCTGGTGTCAGATCATCCCACATGTAATGCAACAGAACTTACCCGGCAGTTCAGAAAATTGGACATATTGAAATAGGAAAGTATAAGGCTTTGCAGCCAAGAATAACTGGCGAATAAATGGAATTGCAGAAATTAAGTAGTATTTTGAGAATCTGCTGAATAGTTTTTCATGGATCTAAGAACTTCTAATTACCCTGGAAGTCTRTCTACTAACTCAGTTCCTGTTTTTCTCCATTAGAAATATCCCAGATTATGAATTCCTATATACAGCTGCTAAGAACTTTGGGTTTTGGGACAGTTTGGCTTCATCAAGACAAAAATATCTTCTTCCATTTTTTTTCCTCACAAGCTTAAACTGTAGTTAATTAAAATTAGAATGGATTTTTGACTGAAACAACAGGGGCAGAGAATGAGGAATATCATACAGAAATCAGTCTTTTTACAGCAAGACTTGAGTTTGTTTTTTTTTTTTTAACTCTGTGCATGAAAATGCAGTAAACATATTAGCTTGCCAAGAATGCAGATGATAACACTTCTGTCATAGCCCAGAAGCMCAGAGGAGTTAATGAAGACAACCCCTGCAAATATTTAATTTCCTGAGTAATTTCCCTCCCTCCACTGATACCTGTCCAATTCCTGGACCCCGATAAAGCTGCTGCAGCACTTCCAGAGCAGCTGCCTTCAATCACTCCCAGCTGATGGCACTCCAGTTTGCCTTCAACCCTCCCAGCTGATTAATGCATTGGCCATATTTATTCTGAGCCATATCTGGCTATGATTTGTCTTGGCTGATGGCAAGCTGTCCTTCATGGACATGCAAATAATGTTAACGTCTCTGGCTGAAGGTGCAAGCTTCTTTCTCTGGCTGCTCCTAACAGACCATTCTCCTAGTCATTATATTCTCTGTAGAATTGTCTAAATTGAAATCTTGGTACTCATAAATATTTGAAAGGATCAAGGAGAAAAATTTTGTGACAAAATAGTGTTACACCAGGTAGCAAGTGAGGTTTATTACCCAYGAGGTTTGGTCCTCTGGACAGTGAGCAGTGTTGGAGCTGGAATAGAGAATATCATCCTTGACTAAAACAGAGATTGCTCTTAGAATGAAAGAGAGGAACAGGTTCAGATGGATGTAGTTCCGAGTACAATGAAGTTTTCTAAGAAGAGATTTAAAAACAGGCATTTTAGATTATGATGCAGAAACTGTTGAACAGACTTTTACAATTCTGTGGACATTCTTTAGCAATATGAACTTCGAGTAAGAGCCTACCCTTTCATWTTCTGTCATTTTGTCAGTGCTGCCATGCTGTTTTCTTTCATCTCCTACTTCTGTTCAGTATCACAGACTAAAAGATCCCAGCGGTATTTGTCCCACATTTTAACATAAACTGACAATAAATGTAGATTATTATATGTCCGTGCACTCATTCCAGCATTTTTCTTGCAAATAAAAATTTGATTATCCTGGATATATTTCAGATGTTCTCTCACCTATTATTTTCTGGCTACATTCTTTTATTTAACTCCAGTATTTTGCTACATAATGGCTTTTCATCCTATGATGTGAGCATATGCAGGAGCAATTAAAAAATACATAAAACATTTGATTGCCTATCTTTTTTGTCCGATGAATGCAAAGCTTCTCTTTTTGAGTCTGGCAGCCATGTGAAAGCCTTACAAACAAATGACATTTGAAATAKTCCAAGTGAGTGAATGAGTACTCAGGGGAAGCAAGCTGTAAATTGAGGGCTTCTCACTTAAAATAAATTCCCTTCCAGATTTTCATATTTTAAAGATTCTTTTTATAGAAATTCCCCAGAAAGCAAACTGCTAAAAGGTTTTTGTGCTCACAGCAAGCACCTTGAACTGCACCTGGAAAAAGGCCAGAAGTTGAGGCATTTTAGCAAGTATGAGCAGTGAAATAATAAAGATGCAATGGGATGTAAGGGCAGTGTGCAGTGGCAACTTCCAAGAGTTCTTCCAGTTGGGATTTTTATCAAACACTACAATCCATTCTGAAATTACTGAAGCAAGACTAGTTATAGTGAGTGCAGGAAATAAAGAACAGATACACCTTGCTAGCCCCTAGTTTGGCAAAGGACATAATACCAGGCTGAATTGAAACAGTTGTCAAAAATTCAATGATTGCTCTGGCCATGCACATCCTTTGCTGAAACGCCATTATTATTTTGGACTGCATCACCTTCCTGGGGAATTCAGAGATACATGCAAGCTGCAAATAGGGGAAAAATATTTTTCTTGAATAACTAATGTAGTTGAGTCATGAATTATTTCAGCCATTCAGTAGCTGAAATAATATATGTTAGATATATACAAGGCTGTCAAACCAGTATTTTGGAGTTATTGGGTAAGAAATTAATTCCTAACTGAACTCACTATGGTGGGAGGCCCCAATGCTCCCTGTAGAAAACAGAGAAAGACACTTACTGAAGGGGGGATTAGAAGAACCTATGTTCCCTCCTGAAAAAATCTGTGTGTTTTCACTGACTGAACCGGAAGATCCGGGAGTTCTCAATTTGGATATTTAAATTGAAGGTTTTGAGTACACCTCTTAAATGCTTGATCTGTTTGTCACACCTGACTWGTGGTGATGAATGACATTCAGATGTCTGTAATTCTCTGTATCAAATGTGTTTTTAGGTTTTAGCAGTTTTGAAAATGCAATAATCTGCATTATGTTCTGCATGGAACATTTGCTGGTAGAAGAAAATGAATATAATCATGATTGACTCAATTCATTTTCTTGAAAGGTATTCCAATATAATTATGGGTTACATATCTACTCTGAACAGTCTCTGAATATTTAAATATTGAGAAAATTTGAAGGCAGATTGAAATGCTTATAGAAGCCGCCACCTATTTCCAGGATTAGTTCATGAGAAGGAATGAGGCTCTGACAAACATTCCCTTCTCTACATATTATTTGTATTTCCTTTCTACCAAAACTGTGAGATGCATTTTTTTTTTCCTTTCTTGCTGCTAAGTGGAGCAGAAAAGCTGAAATTCATAATGGAGAATATAAAGRCAGTTCTGTTGGGTAGAACTGATACTTAAAGGTGTGAAGGTGAAGAGACTGAGAAAAACTGCAATACTGATAACAACATACTGCCAATTCTTTTACCAGTTTAAGATGGCCTTCAATCTCAGAAAACTCTCAGAAATTAGGCAAAAGCAGCAGGTGATACTGCCTTTCTTAACACTGCCTAGCAAAAATATTGCAGACCCAGCACAATCACCCATACCTTTATCACTGTACTTGGAACTGGTTGAAGCTGCACCTTGAGCACCGTGTTCAGTTCTGGGTTCCTCTTTCCAATAAGGGCATTGAGGTGCTGGAGGGTGTCCAGAGAAGGACAACAAAGCTGGTGAAGGGTCTGGAAAACCTGTGTTATGCAGAGCTGAGGGAACTGGGGTTCTTTTGTCTGGAGGAGGCTCAGGGGAGACCTCATCCTCTCTACAACCACCTGGAAGGAGGGTGTAGCAAGATGGGGGTCGGTCCCTTCTGCCATTATCAAGTAAAGGGGTGAGAGGGAATGGCCTTTGATTGTACCAGGGGAGACTCAGGTTAGATATCAGATAAAAAATTATCACTGCAAGAGTGGTCAAGCATTGGAATGGGTTGCCCAGAGAGGTGGTGGAATCACTGTCTTTGAAAGCGTTCAAGAGATCTTTGGATGCTGCACTGGGGATATGGTTTAGGGGTGATTATGGCAGTGCTGGGTTGATGGCTGGACTAGATGATCTTGAAGGTCTCTTCCAACCTTGATGATTCAGTGATTTTGTGATTTACAACCCCACTTGGACAAATTAATGATTGACTTTGATTACAGTACCCCTGGAGATCACTCAGAAACTTCTGCAAAGTACGGCTACCTACTTGTCCAGTAGTGAGACCAGCATCCCACTAATTCTCCAGAGCAATTCAAGGTGTTGATTTTAATAACTAAATAGAAAATGCTTTATCTGATAATTCCTAAATCAACATCTTTCTTACATGGGCTGTAATGTCTGTGAATTTATAAAATGCTTTGAAAATTGTTGATATGATCAGCCCAAATCAACTCAGCATTACATTACTGTCGGCTGTTTAACTGCAAAAAGTGTAAAGTGCAAGGCATTTTCTAAATATCTGAGCAATCACACAACAGTTAAAGCTCCCTTATCAATATATACTCACTAAAAACACATACCTGAAAAGACAAAGAATTATACTTCCTGTTGTAAGAGCAATCAGTGACACGCTGTGTCCAAGGGTATAAATTGCTTTCACCCTCACATAGAAGTTGACCTGCAGAGAAAAATATATATACTRCTTACTGATATGTAAAATTGTCTGTGAAATGATATAACTGCCCATTAAATAGCCACAGCATTATTTTCGCTCTTTGCTCTGCAGTACATGATGAGAATGTTATATCTCTGTTCCAACACATTTTGCAATGCAATATCTCAAGACAATTGACTTCAGTAGAAATTCAGCCTCAGGAACTCAAAAGTAATACAAGTTTGTACCATTCCAGTTGATTATACCATGTCAATGAGGTCAAATAAAGTATCATTCATCAACTTTCGTGAACGCAACCAAATTGGGAAAAGCAAGTCAGTTTGAAAGAAGGGATTATCTCTAAAAGAGATAATTTCACTCTGTCCTTCTGCTCTAGAGTACTTTATAAAGCAGCTATACATGCATTTAATTTTAAAGACAAGTTCGTCTCATTAATTTCCAACTCTATTTGTTCAAATACTTCATTAAATTGTGACCCAAACAACTCTTCCTTTAGTTACTGGCTAAAAGTTGGAAAGGAAATTTTCAACAGAGGAAAATCAGGCTGAAATGAAGTTATCCGTAAACTTACCAGCTACATACTATGTTAATCCTATTCTGAGTAACAAAATCAAGAAAAATAGGGCTAAATATTTTCAAAATTAAATTGCATTTATGTCTACGACAAAACCATTAGACTGACATGCGTTTCCACCCAAGCTAGATAAAATATTAAAATGGTGAAGTTTTTTTTTACATTATGAAATCAAAGGTTTTATCACCAATGTAGAATGTGCTACATATAACGGACAGAATTTCAATATTTAGTGCACATGGTTATCACCTTCCCCAATGATGTTTCTAAAAAGTAGCAAGGAAGCAACACACTTCAGTAAACTAATGCAGCAAAAGGAAACYCAACTCACTAAGTGTATTTATTTTTAAAGCATTCAAAAGGCCAAGTAAGGAGGTTATTTTAGTAATTCCAATTCATGTTGAAATTAGCTGAACTTTCACTTTGCAGATTTTAAACAGATAAGGAAAAAATAAAATGAAATGTGAAATGAATAATCTTGCAACTGCACACATATTGTAGATATGGTTTAAGTGGAAAAATATGGTAAACAACTGCTATGGATCTTAAGTGCATTCATAGGAACTGTTATGCTTGCTATATATTTCAGCCATTGGATTATAGAATAAGATTGTGTTCTGCACTCTGGCCTAAAGAAAGTAGCTGCTCAAACTGCATTGGAATGATTGAAACATGCCCAACAAGAARGTGGGACTTGTTTAATTTTTCATCATTCCACACCATTTTGAAAATTCCACCCAGATTTGATTTCAGGAAAGCTCCATTGTCTGCAACTTTTGAAACTGGACCTATCTGATTTCAGAATTCTTAAATGAAGGCAAAAAAARGTGGAAACCCTGCATGAACTTAGTAACAAAGCATGAGTTTTTGAGCCCCACTGCTGTAGCAGTGCCTTGATTTCAGCCTCTGGCCACGGGCTCTGAGCTTGACAGAAACTGTCAGGCTGCTGCTCAAGAAGTGACTCCGTCACTTCGCCCCGCCAGGGAGAGCAGCAGAGGTTGTCTTCTGCCAGAAAAACCCACACTGTTTAATATAATGTTTCTGGCATTCTGTACACACACATGACCCCTACAACAAATAGTCTGACTAAAATCAAAACAAGAACCCTGTGTACTTTCAGCCCTGCAAACAGCTGTCGGTATCAGCRGGACTGAGTCTCTCTGCTGGCCATTCCTTCACCAAATGGATGAATGTGGAGTAGCTGCATGGAAGTGTGTCAGGATTGAAATTTATCAGCCAAGAGTGCTTGGACATTATCTTAATACTGACCATGGCCATTGTGTTCAAGCTAAGSACAAGRAAATAAGAAATAATGACACAGTTGAAATTATTTTATCATATGATACAGATTTTTGATTATCCTGTRTTCTACATTTGAAATGGTAGTAAAGTACACCATTGTAATCCAGTACATCAAAAATTTAAATTATCCAAATTCATGTGTTTTGATTTTTTAAAAGAATGGTGATTAGAATGGTTTAGATGATTAATATGAAGCACTTTATCAGAAACAGCAGCAAAGATGATGCAATCATACTGCTCCTTAAATTTCCTGTATGAACATAAAACAGATGTGTCTTAATTTGCCTGTAAGACTTCTATAACTCCTAGTGACTCAACAAAAAGAGTAAGAAAATGGTGTTCTCAAATTATATGTCGATTAAATATACAAACAAACTCCATAAAGACAGAGAATTAAATTCCACATTGTTCTGTGGCAATTGAAAACTAGGAAATTTGTTAGACTAATATTGACTTAGTCACAGCTATTAAATATTTGTCACTCATTTGTGTTTCACCTAAGTACCCTTTAGAAAAAAACTCTTTTCACCTAAGTACCCTTTAGAAAAAAACTCTTTGTATTTTATTGCTACAAAAGAAACAGGCAAAGGAATGCCATATCTGATAGAATAAAACACTGATGTTTTTATGCAAGATAGGCATATCTTCTTTCTTTCTTACTACTCTGTGTGAACCATAATTACCGAGATCTCAACTAACTTTTAGTTTTAACCTGTAACCCTAAAATATAAATGTGCAAGATTGGCAGGAAAAAAATTACTGCAATGAAAGCATGGATTGACCAAAAGAGAATTTCAACCTAAATTATATTTTTTAAATATTTTAACGTAGAAGAAATATCACAACCTATTTAGATTTCATAGCTGTTTTCAAAGAATAAACTGATTCAAGTCATACACATGGAATTGCAATGCCATTATGAAATTAAAATGACATGAACTTTCCTGCAAGTCTAACAAAATCACTGTATTTTGCAACACAGTAAGAACATAGTAAGAACAGCTGGCCTCTGCAAAATATTCATAGAATTATTTGAGCAATATTAATTCCAAAACTGAAATCCAACCATTTATTTTTAAAGTTCTGAAGAAAATGTTAAAATTACAACCACTGAAATAAAGTCAATAGGTGGTTAGGCACAGAAGGAAATAATGGAAATGGTTACAAAAAGTATAAATGCTCTTTGAAGATCTAACCCTAAAATGTTTCCTCTTTTGTGTCTACCTAATGTTAATAGGTTTGAAAAGAGAATAAACCCCTACACCTATAAAATTACATAGGATTAGTGCAAGTTTGCAAAATTTGTGTTACCTTCAATACAGTTTTTTGTAAAATCTAGGCACACTTGTGTTTTGTTTTCTTAGAAAAGACACCTGTTTCTGCGAATGTTTCCTTTAAATTTAGTTTTGTGTTATTTTTACTAAGTTCAGGAGACAGAAGTCTTCTGTTTATTTGCAAAACAGTGCAGAAGAGCAGAGAGCTTCCTGGGCAAAGCTGAGTCATCCTGTGGATCTTTCAACCTCAGCCTTGGTCTGGAAGGACCTCTAGGGGTGAGAGGGTTCCTCAGTGCTGAAGGACAAAATCCTTGAGAAAGTTTAGGGCTCGATTCTTTGCCCAGACGAGTTTGGCTGTTGACCAGAAATCACCCTTAATGCAAAAGAAAAGCTCTCACCTCTTTAGTAATTTAACCAGAAATATAATTTGTCATTGCTAAGGAATATAGGAGCATTACAATCTTCATTTTGTTTATTCTGTGGGCTAATGTATTCCTGTAATACTGGCTGTAAAAGAGTTTACAATTCACAGATACAATTACTTGCAACTATATTAGAATTTGTGATCTTAAATTTTCATGATCCATGTGTCAATATTTGAATATTTCATAATATTTTAATATTCAAACTCGAAGAACATATCAGAAAATCTTAAACTGTACAACRTAAAATAGGAACTGGGCCTAGCAAATGAGTTCAGTGCCTTGGAAACACTGAAATGAGCAAATGTAAATAGAAATGGAAGAAGAAACCCCAGTTCTTTCCTTCTACAAAATTAACTTGGACAAGGCTGTATGATTTCTAAAATATTGTAGTACTTACTTATAAGAGAATAAACTGAGATAAAGAAATTTTTTACATGCTATGGACAATTCAATTTTCTCTTACAGGATACTTCTACACATTTCCAAATAATATATGTAGAGAAGAATAGAATTTACTGAAAAGACACATAATAAAATTGTTATTCCTCATGATATTTAATATTTACACAAATAATGATGTCCTTTTTCTGACATTTCTCCTTCAGTTCTCCCTGAGCCTAAAGACCGTCCCAGAAAAAGATGAGATCAGCATTGCCATAAATATCTCTTAGTAAAAATGGCATCATTAATTTTAAATATGTCCATCAGAACATCTTCTAATTTCAAGTTCCCTAACCATACTGGGAGAGATGACAACTTTGTAAATGCACAAACTTCCACATTTTCCTGGGTAAATGTGAATAGAAGATGTATCTGTGAATGTGAGAGCTCATGACATACTGGTATTCAGTGGTTTATTGAATATTCTGAAATTAAAGCAAATTCCCTCTGTGCTGTACAAAAGAATATCAGCTAATATTCAGTCCTAGTCCTCACTTGAAGTCAAAAGAAGATTTTGCATTTATTTTAAGGAATACTGGTCTCTTAATCACACCTCATGGGGGGGAAAAAAAAAGTAATGAAAAATTCAGTATAATATATAKAAATTCAGCATGACTTAGAGGCACAAGACTGGTAGATGTCTGCCTTGTGTCAGATTTTGTTGAGAGACAAAGATTCAATTTAGACTCACCCCAAACAATCCATTATTCCAGAGCAGTGATCCACTCCCCAGACTGCAGAAATGCTTCTGTTTTCTGGAGGCAGCTCCAGCCCAGTCCCTGTTTGTGCCAGCCCTGCCCTCACTGCCTCGACACCACTTGTGTGGGGTGATGATGTCTCTGTAGCACACCCAGGGTGATGTGACACCTGGAAGGAATGCTCCAGGAGCTTGACCAAATGGGGGAATGGTTCTTCCAGGGATGATGCTCTGCTAAAAGCACCAGCTGCAACAGCATCACCACACTCAACAGCCCTGAGGATCTTCTTCTCCATGAATTTCTCTTTGTATGACACTACACATTCAAACCACACAGCCTATAACTTGCAAATTTTGGGGCTTTTGTGTGACCTAATATATCTTGGGCCAATTCACACTAAGATTAGACAAAGCTATATTAACTGATTCAGTTACTATTTGAAATAGACACATTTCAGTGCTTTACATTCACCAGACACCTTGCTGTGTATTAATAATGCTGACACAGTTTAATACCTTCTGACAACAGCTAGGACATATCTCCAGCTTGTTCTGTAGATAGAAAATGTCAAAATACGCCAGGGAAAGGTTGCAGTGARGCTTGAGTTTGGTTAACACACCTTGACGTGTATTTCTAGCATGGGCAAATCAAGCTCTCTATTTTCCTGTTGTGCTGCCAAAAGCTCCACAGTAATATCATAGAGGAAGAACGAGATGCTTGCTTGAATACCTAGAATGAACCTAAAACTTGATCTTGAAGTTTAGCAGTAACCAGCTTACTTACAGGAAAAGGTGTGAAAATAYATAATAAAGATTTAGATCTGTGCTTTTATGTACTTGCATGCAAGTTCTTTCAGAAAAAAAATAAGAGGTGACACATTTATGGTATTCTTTAGTAAACTTCTTCATTTCAGTGTATTTTTAAGCATACAAATTTGGTATACCTGTTAATAAATCATTCAGTATTTGCTCACAGATTTTTATAATTTAAACCTTCTGTAGAATATTCAGACTGCCCAAAATAAATGCATATCTGGAGAGAGATAMMTGCCTRTGTATATGCATATRTRTATAATACATAGAATATGTATAGAAATAAGTCTCCTTTGCACTAAAGCTAAAAGTCTGTATCTTAAAAGACAGAAAAAACCCCACATGAACAAATATTTAGTTGGATCTAGAATGGAAATTCCTTCGGCATGAAGATTGAGGATGCAGTCACCAAACTTAACACGAGTTTCCACCTACTCCTCTAACATTGTCCTCAAAGTAAAACATAYGAAAGAAAACTTAGGACTTACCCATGGAAAAGTATTTTGCCACCCTCCCTAAAATATTATCTCCTTAGTTAATGTAACTTTGAGAGCAACATCTTATACTTCATATCATATACTGCAAAGCAYATTATGCCTTGAAATTAAGCATGTGGCATTTTTATGCCCAGAATACTCAGTATCCAAATATTAGAACTTCACTTTTAGCTCTCATAGTTGAAATAGTAGATTTTTTTAAAAAAGAACTGTACTGATTTATGCTGAGTAAAGATTTTGGTTTGAGGTGCTACCACTGAGAACTAAGACCTGAATTTAAGAAAATACCTTCTGTGTTAACAACAAGTAGCTGGTGCAGAATCTCCAAAGCCTCCTAAAATCTACAGCTGCATGATACTTGCATTTTTTTCTATTATCTCTATGATTTCTATTACATCTATGATATCTTTTGTGTGTTTGCGAATAATTTTTCCAGCACCTGCTTTCCACATCTCACTTCTGATTTTCAACCTCACACTTTTATTATTTGCTTTTTTTTCCAAGGCTTTTGTAAATGCTGCTGCYACTTCTTATTTCAAGTTCTCTAGGTTAATTCCCGCAAGTATAGTCAGTTTGCATTTCATTCACCTCCTTCAAATTACTAATATGTCAAACCAGAATTGCTTTTCTATTATGCTAGTTCATCTTCCAATTGTTCTCATTACTTGAAATACCGTCTTTTGTTAATCTGAATTTTTTACATTTTGACCCACTTTGACTCCACATGGCAATGCCTGGGTTGAATGCCAGTTTATAAAGTGGCTGTTTTAGCAGTAATATGTGTGTGTTCCCAAGATGTTAGGTGACACAGATTTTTACAATTTKCCCTCAGAAAAATTGGGAAGACAATATATTGTCTCAATTTTCTCTGTTATGTATTTTCAGCTACAGTAATGGTTGGGCTTTTAAATACAGAAAAAATGGCAAAACCTGCCTGCCTTGGAATGCCAGTACATCTCTGCAAGCCAGAAAGAACAGATCTGCTGCAGCTATTCCATACACACTGAAAACCAGGGAAAAAACATAAACAGCCGGGTAGCTTTATTCATGAGAAGACTTAAAACAAGAGTTTTACTAACACTATGAGCTCATGCTTGTAAACAAAATCTTGCTCTGTTAGCCTCAGCAAGTAAGCAGACGGAAAATATGCGAAGCGTGATGGTAAAAACCTTCCCTCAACAAAAAGGAAAAGAAATAGTGTCTGCAAAGTGAACAAATTCAGYTTTCTATTCACAGTTTATTTAGGATACCTTGATGGCTTTCTGAACTACTTCCAACTGCTAACACAATTTTGAGTTTATTATARTTCTGCAAGAACCCAAATGACCTAAATCAGTTCTATTTTACTTACAACTTTAACACAGACCATCAATCAAGTGGTGCATGTACTATTAACAGATTATTAATATTAGGTTTTGAGACAACTTTTTTTTTTAATATTCTTTTAAAATAACTGAAACTCTAGAAATAACAYAATGCAAAACATATGGTATGTCAGCTGAGTAACACTGCAATATTAGATATACAGATGCATTACTGCCATTACCAACTGTYTATAGCCTTGAGTTTCAAACAGTTACTGAGTTCTACATTTCTGATTTTATCCCATTAGACAACTGCAGTCCAASCATGTTGCAACCAATGTCATGAAAAATTACTACAAATTTTCTTTAAGYCTAGTTTTCATTTAGTCTGAGTACGATGGGATTTTATCAGACAGAAGCAGAATCTGTCTGACAGCTGTACTGAACACCATCATCTAAATGAATAGAAAAAAYATTTTTCCTACCTTATAATCATCTTCGTAGTCGTTATATCCACAAGTGCTTAAGATGTCAGGAAAAATATCCGACCATCCATTACTYGTACAATTTTTGCTAATATTTCCTGTAAAGCAAAATTAGAGAGTTTAAATCAGAAAGAGTCAAAACTCTCCTCATGAATGACTCTCCAGACAACCTAACTTTGTCATTAGCTAGTCACAACCTAACTCTTTTTCCTGTGTTTCCTAGGACTCAACCCAAGCATTKCATTTCATGTGCTCTTCATTCATGTGACTTTGGCTCTTACTCTTTCTTGGAGTCACCTTTTCAGTACAGAAAAACCAAAGTAAACCCAAACCATGAAGGCGGACTTCTCCTTTGGTATAACAGCAATTTCTGTTCCATCTGCAAAAGGCTAAACAGTTCTGCTGTTTTATTTAAAATACTCAGAAGGGAGTTTTCCAGTCCACTCTATAAAGGGCCTATTTGCAGATTAAGTAATTTGAAAAAAAAAACCATTTCAAGGAGAGTTGTTCTAACCTCCTATTTAGGCTTTCTGAGAAGCCRATACCAAGTGATRTACTGAAGGGTTATAAAAGTTCTTRCACATAAAGGTGATGACTTAATGCTGCAACAAATGTTGGTAGTTTTGGTAGTGAACTTTAAAGGCCGAATTATGTTACAGTTTAAAGAACGAAGAATAAAAATGCATGCTGAATTTCAATCCTTGAACCAATACTGAAACAGTGGAGTCCAAGGAATGGAAGTAAGGCTGGAAAGGAGTTTTGAACAAGTATTAATTTCAGAAAGTTTGTTTGAAACTGAGAGAATTTGACTCTTTTCAGAGACAAAGTCACACAGATGAGACGGGGGCAATCCATGATTCTACTTCTTAACCTAATTAAAATGAATGAATATTCATATAATATGAAACTACTTCAATAGGGAAAAATGGAAAAGTCTGATTTCAGACTAAAATTTAGTCCTCAAATTTATGATAAYTTACTCTTCCAATGTTAATTTATAGCCAATTTCCCCTCACATTTCTTAAAGCAATTTGTATATCCATGATACATGAAATCTATAATAATATACTGCTTTGGTTTGGAGTTTACCATTGGTCTTTAACTGACTTAAAGATGCCTGGTTTTCCCCATTAAAAAAAATGTGTCACAGATCAGTGTTGGTCAAGAACAACCAAACTTGTTTATATRCACTCCAAACTAAAGCTTTAGTGATTCTTACTTTGTTGATTAATTCCTGGAAATACTTCTTTGTATAAAGTCTTCAGTGGAAAGTTGTAAATATCCTACAAATGGTTCACCAGCCAACAACCCATTCTTTCCAGCTAATAAAAAGGCCTTGACCTAAACCCACAGTCTCCTCAAACATTGGGACCACTTTTGCCGATCAGCATAGAAATGACATTTCTAAAAGAAAATGTAACCTATTTATACACTGTGAAGAGTCCTCACTTTAACAGTACACCAAGATTCTCTGACTAGGCAGAGCAGAGGAATGTGTTAACAGAACCACAAATTGCRTCAAAGCCAGTTTTGCAAGAAAAAGACTCGATATACTCAAGATGCTGGAGCATTTTCTACTTCAAATACTGCAATACCTTCAAACCTAAAGACAGCTGGGCAATGTTCTGTGGAAGGCAGTATTTATTTCTACACCATATATCATGCAATTAAATATTTCAGATGCCAACCTGATTAAAAACCAACAACTTCACACATATGTTTGAATAAAAACTTCACAGAAGGATTTTTTGAGACTCATAAGCTTGTACAATACAGGGAAAACATATTATGGGATAATATKATTGCTTTTACAGTAAAAATACTTTTAATCAAAAGTTACTAGTATTCAATATGGAATTAATAATGTGGTATGCTTAAACTACAACACAGACCACCACAGAAGAAATTTAGAGCCAACTATCCGAAGGTTCTAAAGAGGAGAAGGCAACTGAGAAGGCAACAATTYACAATTGAAACTGAGAAATTGTTTAAGGAGTTGATGGTGTTTAAAAGCCTACCTATGGTTTGAAATGTTTGTATAAAAATAAGGTAGATTATCCTGTAGTAGAATATTAATTACTCTTAAACACAAAAAAAAACCCAAAACATATCTCACAAATCTGGCTAAATAAAAASCATCAAATTTCTTGCTTAAAAATATTTTTATCATTTGTTGCTGTAAGAATGAAGTTAATTTGTAACATCCTGTGTATGAATTAAATAAATTAMATATTCCTGAGCATAATCAACTTATAAAGTTGCGAAGATGCTTAGTTAGATCTTAATTGAATCAACCATGCAAGATGTTTGTTGTCTTCCTTTTCTGAAATTACAGAAAGACAAGATTTGAAAAACACTCTTTATTGAACAGGTACCTCTAAAAAACAACCCTGTCAGTTCCACAAGCAGAAACTAAACAGGTAGCTATGAAAAAAAAAGCTAGATTTGGGTAAATTATAGCAAACTATAAAAAGGAARAACCTTTCAGTCTTGCTGACCCCATGGTGAAGTGAGGCAGAGTTGTAATGCACTGTTGAAGATTTCAGACTTAAATATTTATCGCAGCTGTTTTATAGTAAAATTAAAATGTTGTTGTAATATAATGAAAGGTTGTGAAATAAACTCCAGAGAGAGTGTGCATGCTCTAGCTTCTGGCAAATAGACAGAAGCAGCATGATTTAATTCAGATTTTGAATTTTTGATATTTATTAGTTTGTCTTGTCTCATGACAACACTTTATTTTCTTCATTTGAGTAATTTGAAAACTTTTATAGATTTCACAAGATTTGGTAACGATTACACATTCTTTGCCCTTTATAAACTGTTTAGACTATCCATGATAAACTAATCAAGACTTACCAGTTCCAGGAATTAAAACCTTTGCTCATCTGTAGATTGTTTTAGTTATCTATTTTATACTGTAGCAAGACTTAATCAACAATTTTGAGTCTAAAGTTATTTTGGTCATAAGCCAAATTAGCCTTTAAATTAAAAGTGATATAGTTAAAGCTCTCTGCATGCAGAGACACCCCCCCCCCCCCCAATCAAAACAAAAAATTACCATTAAATAACTGCGATAAATTTTGCATCTTTCACGAGCTCTTCATGATAAAGTTTCCCACCTGAGTAATGGGGATAAGTTTTTCCTGGTGCACCTGGACATATTTGTGAAGTGCTCTGTGGGCATCATTTTCAAACCCTCATTTACACGCCACAAAAAAATATGATGTATTGATGAGATGGGGCAGAAGATGGTAGACTTGAACCAGTTAATTGTTTCAGCAGTCTGAGACACTGATGGGCTCTTTTCCGGCTCCATTAAAAAGCAGAATAAAAGGTTTCACAATAACTACCTTAAAATGCAATTGAAGTAATTTTTAGGTATTGTCTGTTATTGTGGCATTTTTATTCTCATAAAAGGGGCAAGGCAGAGCTCCCCTCCTGAGGCACAGAAGGAACAACCTACAYGTGACCTGCTGGCAGCAGTTAGAGATGTCAGCCAGGCTCAGCTGCCTTAGTAATTAACRAAATTGGTCAAAAAAGAGCAAGCAATGACTGCAGCTTTGGTGAGTGTCACTATATCTGAAAATATATTTAGTATCTGGCTCAAGGAACACCMAAAAAAACACAAAGATGATAATTTGGTCTTTTCATGGTGTATCCTGAACAGCTCTGTCAAGAATTTAAATTTTAAAAATAAAATAAAAACCCCAAATAAACCATTTTCAGCACATTATGTTACAGAATACCAGAGGGAGGCCAGCAAAAAATACACTTTAAAATAAAATACCTGGTTTTCCAGAAAAAAGGCTGAATACTTTTGGACAGGGGACAGTGACAGTCTCTCCAATCTTCGCAGGACGCCAGCAGGTGATGTTATCCCAAACTCCAACACATCCTGAAACAAAACCAGAATTAACAGACTTGAAAGCTCAGTCTGGCCTGAATCACACTGCTGTATTTACCTTATAAAGACCTGGTGAAATCTTTGGATGAGTGGTTAAAAAAATATCAGACTCTTTCAAGCAAGCTGCAAAGACGGTATTTTCTACCAAAACATTAAAATGAATCATAAGAGTCTGCTGATTAACCAGCCAATTTTTAGGTCRGTTAACACATTGTTTGCAAAATGTGTCATTAAAACAATGTCATTGTGGTGTGMGGATGCTAAGCAAAAGTAAGAAATAYTTAAAAATAACTCCTGAGCACTGATATGGATTATKAAGAACTGCAAGATTYTGAGAAATTTTTAATCACTGTTAAAGTAGAGTTTTCYATCAAGCAGATTGAACATCACAAAKAATTWTTTAAGTAGTTCATTGGACTCAGCACCACATATGATAGGAAAGCATCAAGACTGGAGAATGTTTGGAATAATAGGCATGTACTTGCAAACTAAATAACAACATTTGAACAAAGAATGCTTCTATGTACTGGCCTCAGAAAGGGGAGAGGGCCTTCAAATTTCATAGACATCTTTGATAGTGGCAGTAACTACTTGTTACAAGTAGAGAGTAACTTGCTAGAGCTTCACTCATGTTGGTATCTATATTAATGTGGCTCAAAGGCAGTACCTTGTGAATGAGTGTAAATCTTCCTACAGCTGCTGTAGGCACTTGGCTCAACCAYGCCCTGTTTAAATGTTTATAAAGGCCCGTTTATAATGCATATCTTCTAAGCTAAGCAAAGAGTTATGGAAGTTTCTCAATATAAGCCTTACAAGGACAAATAAGTAAGGAAATGTTACTCATATTATCTCAGTTCAAGTTATTAAAAAAAATTCTCAAAATTCTGGGCATTTRTGTCTTCAGATAAGGCAATTAACAATTTAAATTTGTAATTTATGCTGAAGAGAAAAATCAAACTAYTATCCTACTGGTCTTATCTCCATAAGATTATTGGAACGAAAAGGGACAGTTTGTTCCCTTCAGTAGAGAACATAAAACTTGGATTACGAACTGCTCACAGCCATATTATTCTTCAGAGTATTTATAGTATTAGCAATTCATTATTAATTTATTCTGCGCTAGTGAGGTCATGCCCAAAATCAAGCTACGTGAGTTAAGTGAAACTTGAAAAGGAATATTTAGAAGTTCTATATTTGTATAAAAACTTTTGAGTTCAATTAAACTTGGACAGCTAGTGTTGGCTTAAAAYATGCAGCATCCTGCTTTCAAAGTTTAAGTTCTTTTCAAAGCACACATAAACTAGGGAACCAAAGAATGTGTTACGGGACCAGCAACTGGATTTGTACCAGGGCTGTGTCCTGGCTGCAGCATGAAGAAAAGCGTTCCCATGGGCCTTGCTTTCCTTTGSAAACATCCATCCAAGTGTGATAGCTGCGAGGAAGCCTCTGTGTGGTACCAAGAATGAGGTTTGGTACCACAAGATGAGAGGAGGATTATGGGGGAAATGATTTGATCACTGATTCCACAGAATCTTCTTTTAAAATTTCCCAAGGAAGAGCAATTCTCCAGAGRATTCACTCACTTATGGGTATAGTGTCTTTCTTCACTCCTCTTAGGAGTTCTAAATGCAGCATGTGTTCTATGTTCAGAAAGATGATGCCAAAAATGAGGGATTGCTAAAGGGAACACTTACAAAGTTTATCTCTGMATCTGCATAGATAACATAATGCCTTATCCTCCCCTGCCCAGTGTGCTGCATCAGCCTCTCTTGGCATTACTGACAGCATCCCTGAGATATCTCTGCTGTAGGTTTGGCCATCTGTACACAATTTCAGAGGTTTCCATCTGAGCAGGTCACTTTCACAGCCTTTGAAGTCAATGGAATTTCAACATGCTTAGGTGCTTCCTGAGCTGCAGTTCTGGGTCAAAATCAAGTCCAAATCTCTATGATGCAACAGCAGGGCTTAGGCAAAGTAAAAGAATGTTTGCCTGAGCCRATTCAGGTCATACTTCCTCCCCAGCTGATTTTAAGCCAAAAACAACATCAACAACATGACATACAAGTAATCAGAAAGACAAAGAAACTATTTTCATCATCTGCCAGCTCTCAGAACAACAGTGACAAACTGAAACTCTTGGCTTTGATTGATGGACTGTCTGAGCCAGCATAAACAAGCCCTGGAGTACACAAGAATAATTATCATCTTGTGAGACTTCAGACATCTTTATTTCATCCCCATTTCCACTAAAAGTGTGATCTGAGATGAGTCATGAAAGCGCTTGTGCACACCCATGGAAGCTGACGACGTTCTCAAATTTTCCCTTTTGTTTAATCCGCTCCCTGTAAAATGGTGGGTTTGTTACAGTAATCTGCAAACAGCTCTGAGACCTTCAGAAATTTTTCCTGTGCTGCTGTACGTGGACTAGGCTAAGGCAGCTGGACTTCAGAGCTCCATTGCTATGTTTTCCACAAGAAACACTTTAAACTCTTATTCAAGCCTCAGTTAAATGGAAGGTTATATAGGAAAACTGAGGTTCAGGCCCTATTCCTACCAAAATGAATCAACACAATTTGTATCAAATCTCAAAGCCAGCTTGCTGGGGTTTTGATGTTCAAACATCACAAGTCACTCATGGTTTCTGGGGAATATGTTTTTTTCCCCTATTTTTCTTCAGAATTTTAGGACTTTTCAGGCAACTGTGGCCCAGGAGGGAATGAGACTTTTTTTCAGACTTCTTAAATCAAATGGATGAAATAACACCAAAGACGTATTTTCTACATCCAGACTACATTCAAATGCATCAAAAATCATGAGAGTGAAGCTGGAGTGAGTATCATCAGAATACCAATATTAAGCCTCAATTTATGTGTATTTACAGGCCTATTAATTATTACAGGACATAGAAAACTGCTGAAATGTTCTGGATGAAATTTATTTATAGTCACTGAATGCCTGCTRTGGACATCTGAAACTGGTCTAGGTCTGAATGCTGAAATGGTGTTACTGGTGTGCTGCCAGAATTACAGCTGCTAAACAACAGTGCACATTTCTGGGCCTTTAAATCACACCTTTCATCATTGCCCCTTCCTCCAATTACCACAGATTTTTAACAATATTGCAGTCATGTAATCTCAGGAGTATTTTAGTATCTTGGGAAATCATACCATCATGCACAGAAGGGATACAGGTTTTTGCTTTCCCTGTTAAACTTGTCTTTATCTCAACCCTAGAGTTTTTCAGCTTTTACCCTCCCGATTCTCTCCCCAGTCCTGCTGGTGCCTGTGCAGGGCTGGGTTATCACTGGGGTTAAACCATTAACAGCTATTAATAAAGTTAGCAAAGGCAAAAGGGCTCTTCATCCCTATTTCTGTGGTGTCTAGAAGAACACTCCTGCACCYTGAATAGAAAAATCCCTTTTCAATGTCTTCATTTGCACCATTGATTTCTCTGATGTGTCATTCACAGCACATCCAAGGAAAAAACCAAACCTCCCAGAAAACCTTTGCTCAGTGACTCACTCAGAAGTCTCTCKTCTACTGATCCCCTCTCCTGCTCCTCCAGATGATGCTGCAGATGCTTTTGTTAGCTATTTTCAGTGAGATCACTTACTTTATTCGAATGTTTGCTCTTTAATGCTTGTCATGCATTTGCACATACTTCATAATGAAAGGAAACATAACAGACTATAAACTACATTTTGCTTCYCATTTTCTTCAGCTTACATAAATACTGCCACCACATTCATCATCCTGCTTTTTGAGATTCAGCCTTTGAGCAACAAGTTCACTTACCTACGTGTGCTTCTTCATCTACAAAAACATGAAACACTGGGGCTTGTGCTGGAATACTTTGTTTATAGACAGTTTTTATAAATATAAAACCACTAGGTGGCTCTTGGTATTTGGATTTAAAAATTGTCACTTCCAAGAGGGGTTTAGCGTTTTTTAAAACTGTCTAGGCATGCATAAAACACGAAACAACAACAGAGTGCTTTGAAAATGAGTCAGAAAGTCGACAGCTAGCCTAGGGTTTATTTTTCAAACTGGGATACGTTTTGATTTTTGTACTTGGCAGAGCGGTAACCATCTCACCTCTTATGGGCAATGATTTCTAGACTGCAGGTCTGTGTGGCACAGCATGGAACTCAGGGCACATGGAAATCGTGAACAAATAAGGGCTGACATTCCTTCTGCATTTTCCCACAAGGGATAAAAAAGAAAGGAAAAAGATGTGCTAGACAAGCAGCGAGCCAGSAAACTGGGAGCAAAGCAGAACTGCTCAGAGCAGGAATGGGAATGACACAGTCACAGAAAAAAGTTTTGGTCGCCATCCTGGGGCTCTGGTTCCCTGTGCCAGGCCAGATCCTGATCTGCAGGCTGATGTCTGCAGCTGTTCCTGTCCCAGGGAGGTGACAGCGAGGTGACAGAGAGGTGACAGGTGACAGGGCAGGGGCTCCCTGGGTGAGGTGGGAAGGATCCTGCCATCCCTGCTGGACCCTGCCTGCCCAAAGCCCCTCGGCGTGGAGCTGTGCACCCACAGTCACATGGAAATGGAAACTACAATGGCTACAACATGGTCAAGAAGCAGCTCCAATTACTCAGAAAAACTGAGGAAATGCTGATGTAAAAATTTTTAATTTCTGGTCAATGAGCACTACAAACAGAGCTTCAGAAATCTACAGTATACATTAGATTAAACTAKTTTAAACAGAATGATGAAACCAATAGAGTTTATCTCATTTTCACCCAAAATTTTTGCTGTACACAGGTTCTCCATGAGACAGTTCTATTACCAGAAATGGCAAAAATGCTGTTTCTGACATTTCTAAGGGGTTTCTGGATTTTCACTGAATGAAACACTTCAGACGAAATATCTAATTTCACTTTAGAAGAACAGTTTTCCTTTGGAGAATCAAAAATCTCTTGGCCAGTTTTACATTTAATTGGCATATATTTAGGGTTCTGTAGGGAAATACTGAAGTTGCCAGC